TTCCATGTGATCTAGAAAAGAATGTGTATTCTGCTGTTTTAGGATGGAATGTTCTGAGTATCTGTTAAATCCATATGGTGTCCAATGTGTCACTCAAAGTCATTGTTTCTTTGTTGATTTTGTTTGATGGTTTAACTATCCATGTAAGTGTGGTGTTAAAGAACCCTACTATTATTATATTGATTAGCTCCTTCATGTTTGTTATTAGCTGCTTTATGTATTTGGGTGCTCCCATGTGGATGCCTAAACATTTATAGTTGTTATATCTTCTAATTTGATTGTTCCCTTTATGGTTATATAGCGTTCTTCTTTGTCTCTTGCTACAGTCTTTGTTTTAAAGTCTGTTTTTTCCAATATAAGTATTGCTACGTTGGCTTTTTTTTTTTTTTTTCACTATTTGCTTGGTAGATGCTTTTACATCTCCTCATTTTCAATCTGCATGTGTCTTTAGGTCTCAAATGAGTCTTGTAGGCAGCATAGAGATGAGTCTTACTTTTTTATTCATTCCGTCACTTTATGTCTTTTGATTGGAGCATTTAGTCCATTTAAATTCAAAATAAGTATTGATAGGTATGTACTTATTGCCATTTTGTTTCTTGTTTTATGGTGGTTTTTGTGGTTCTCAGTTCCTTTCTTTTCTTCTCTCATGATTTGCTGGCTTCCTTTAGTGATATACTTGGATTTATTTCCTTCTCTTTCTCTTTATTTCTCTCTTTGCATATCTATTACTGGTTTTTTATTTGTGGTTACCATTTGGTTTATATATAACATCTTATGCATATGGAAGTCTGTAGTAATTCGATGGTTGCATTCTAAAAGCACTAAATTTTTATTCCTCTCCTTTGACATTTTAGGTATTTGGTGTCATGCTTTACATCCTTTTATTTTATGAATCCCTTGACTGATTTTTATAAATATACTTAATTTTACTGCTTTTGTGCTTCCTACTTTTCTTACTCTTGCTTATGGTCTTTCCTTTCCACTTAAAGAGTCCCCTTTAACATTTTTTTGTAAGGCTGGTTTAGTGGTGATGAATTTCTCTAACTTCTGTTTGTCTGGGAAACTCTTTATATCTCGTATTCTAAATGATAGTCTTGCTGGATAGAGAATTCTTGGTTCTAGTTTTGTTTTGTTTTTCTTTCAGCACTTTGAATTTATCATTCCACTTTCTTCTGGCCTGCAAATTTTCTGCTGAAAAATCAGCTGATTGCCTTATGGGGTTGCCCCTTGTATGTAACTGTCTTCTTTTCTCTTGCTGTTTTTAAAATTCTCTCTTTAAGGGGCACCTGGGTGGCTCAGTCGGTTAAGTGTACAACTCTTGATTTTGGCTCAGGTCATGATCTCAGGTCGTGAGATCAAACCCCACATCAGGCTCTTCGCTCGGCAAGGAGTCTGCTTAAGATTCTCTTTCTCCCTCTCCCTCTGCTCCTCCCCCACTCATGCTCTCTCTCTAAAATAAATCTTTAAAAAAATAAAAATAAAATTCTTTCTCCCTACTTTTAGCTAGCTTAAATGTCTTAGTGTGGACCTCCTTGGGTTGAATTTGTTAGGATCTCTCTGTGTCTTTTGGATCTGGATATCTGTTTCCTGCCCCAGATTTGGAAGCTTTCAGCTATTATTTCTTTAAATAAATTTCTTTTCCCTTTTTGCTTCTGAGATCCCTATAATGCAAATGTTATTACACTTGATATGTCACTGAGTTCCCTTAATCTATTTTCATTTCTTATTATTTTTTCTCTCTTGTGTTCAGCTTGATTACTTTGCATTACTCTGTCCTCCAGGTTGCTGATCCATCCTTCTGCTTCCTCTAGTCTACTATCTATTCCCACTATGTATTTTTAATTTCAGTTATTGAGTTCTTTATCTCTGATTGGTTCTTTTTCATGTTTTCGATCTCTTTGTTGATGATCTCACTGAGATACTCCACTCTTTTCTCAAGTCCAGTGAGTATCTTTATGATCATTACTTTAAATTCTCTATCAGGCATATTGCTTATCTCCATTTTGCTTAGGTCTTTTGCTGTGATTTTGTCCAGTTCTTTCATTTTGGGACATACTCTTCTGTCTCCTCATATTATCCAACTCTCTCTGTTCCTATGTGTTGGGAAAGTAAGCTATGTCTCCTGCTCTCAAAAGTGGTGGCCTATGAAGAAGAGGTCCTATAATGCCCTCCAGTGCAATGTCCAATGTTCACCAGAATCTGGCACTTCAGGGTTTCTCCTATGTGTGGAGCATGTACCCTTCTGTTGTAGCTAAGCTGCTTTTGCTTTTAGTCCAGTCATCTGTTATAGCTCTTTTTGCCTGTTGTGGGCAGGGTGTGGTCCCTGTGTTGTTAGTGGGCCAGTCTGAGGCTGCCTTGGGATTGATTTGGGTCAGACCGGGCATTTGCCAGACCTACAATAGTACCAAATTTCAGGGCACTCTCCTTGTGTTGTCCCCTGGGAGGCTTTTGTTGGTGGGTAGTGCCTGCAGTCAGAGCAGATGTCTGCCCCCAGCCTACTGTTGGGGCCACAGTGGGACTGGTGTGTGTGGTTATTTTCCCCTATCCCAGGGCAGGAATCACTTTGGAGTGGTGCTGGCCCCTGTTGAGGTTGCTTGCCCACTGTCATGCTTGTGGAACTGCTTTGGATGGACTACTGACGAGGCTGAGTTGGAGGGGGCAGGTCCACAGAAGAGCACAGGGGTAGGGCATGTGGTGTTAGCAATGTTTTAGTGAGTCTGCTATGGGGGGAGACCAGGAGCCAAGGCCTAGCTGGATGGGGTGGATTTGAGGAAGTTCATGGGGTAGGCATGTTGTTAGCATGCTAGGTGGAGAGTGTTGGTGTTGTGCTGATTCCCATCAATGTCCATGTATCTAGGCTCGGTGATGGAACATGGAAATGGCACTTAACAGTTCTTTTGTTCTTGGAGAAGTCTCCCATTGATCCCTGCTCCTCCAGAACATGCTCTGAGAGTAGTAAACAAATCTCCCCCCTGTATACCTTAGGTGTTTTTCAAACTGCTTTTATGCTGTATCTCAGTGGGGCTGTTTGTTATGCTGTTTCTTTAAGGGCAGGGATTCAGTTTCCTTTTGCCCTCCAGCTCTCCCAGAGCTGAACCCACTGATTTTAAAGTTCTAGATGTTAAACCCCACTGATTGTGAGAACGTGTGAAGTTAAACCCCTTTGGTTTTCAAAGCCAAATGTAATGGGCATTTGTCTTCCTAGTGTGGGTCCCCTGTGCCTGGAGTATCTGGTGTGAGGTCGGCTCCTCTCTCCCCTCTCCATGCCCAAGGCATCCGTCACTCCCACAGACAGTCCTGTGGGTCCATTTGGTTCCCAACTTCATCTCTGTCCTTCCTACCCTCATTGATGTGGACTCTTCTCTACATTTAGCAATGGAGAGTTTGTTCTGCCACTCTTGGAATAATTATTTGGGTTATTTACACTGATGTGGGTAGTATCTAGGAGTATCTGTGGGACAAGATGAGCCCAGATCCTCCTACTCTGCCATCCTTCCCAGAAGTCAAATATAAAATAATTTTTAATTTTTTTTCTGGATATTATGCATATTTTGACTGGATTCTGTTACAGTTTCCAATGAGGATTTTTGTTTTGTTCTAACTTAAAGCTAATCATCTTGCTTAGACTTAAGCTTCCAACTGTTGGGTGGCATCTGACATTTCATATTTTTCTTTAAAGATTTTATTTATTTGAGAGAGCGAGTGGGAGGAGGAGCAGCGGGGAGAGGGAGAAGCAGACCCTTTGCTGAGTGCAGAGCCTGACATGGGTCTGGATCCCAGGACCCTGAGATCATGACCTGACCCAAAACCAAGAGTCAGATGCTCAACCGACTGAGCCACCCAGGTGCCCCAGTGTCTGACATTTTAGTACAGGTCTTGGTTTTTTGTTTTTTTGGTAAGATGTTTTGAGTCTACCTGATGATACATGATTCAAGCTTTAGCCAGAGATTTGGGCAGAGATTTACTTAAAGCTTGAGATCCCATCTCTCTGGTTCTCTCCTGTCTAGGTTTTCTCCCTCATTATTCATTGGCTGTGGTTTCTCAAAACTCTAGACTAAAATGAATGTGGATTTTCTAGCAGAGGTTTTGCCATTCTATATGGGGAAGACTGTGACCTGCCCTAAGGCTGAAAACTATAATAAATGAAAAATCTATCCAATGCCTTTTTCTTCTTTCATGTGTTGACACCCCTCCCAGAGCTCCATGTTTATGTTCACTCTCAAGGGCCTTCAAATAATTATGTTTTAGGCTTTGACCAGGTCTTACAACTGTTGCCTGATGAAGGGCTGGTCCCATGCAATCTTATTCAGTCAGGATGGAAGTGGATTTTCTCCCACATTTTCATTACTTGTTTTGTAAATTAGTGCTTTCTCCCCCTTTAAAGTTTGATTAGTTGCTAGTGATTTGTTTATGTTGCTTCTTTTCCACCTTCCAGGATTTTTTTTTATTAACTTGATGTTAAGTTTTTCTGTTCTCTATTCATTTTTTATATCTTTAATTTTTTTCCTTCCTTGTGCTTTCTTTTTGTCTTATTATTCTTTTCTAGTTTTTAAATTAATGATTTCATTTTGTTATTTTTTAGTTTTATATTGATTTAATTTATTTTTAATTTTTATTTTCACTGCTGTAACTCTTTAGTGCTTCATGTTTTCCTTTGATTATTGCTTTAAAAATAGCTCCTAGATTCTGATATGTTCATTGATCTGATTTCCATTACTATTATTATTATTATTTTAAATATTTTATTTATTTATTCGAGAGAGAGCGAGAAGGAGAGACAGTGAGAGAGTACAAGCAGGGAGGAGAGGGAGAAGCGGGCTTCCCACAGAGCCAGGAGCCCGATGTGGGGCTCGATCCCAGGACCCTGGGATCATGATCTGAGCCGAAGGCAGACGCTTAATGACTGAGCCACCCAGGCGCCCCCCATTACTATTATTTTTTAATTGCTGACATCTTCATCATTCAGGAGTTGTTTAATAAAATTTTTTTTCAATTTCCAGATTGTATTTGGCCTCAAGAGAAATGTGTGCAGGATTTAGAAGGTGGAAATGAAGTGGCCATTTTTATGCTCAGATGGGTAAGTGAGGAACTTAAGGTAGTGTGGCACACATGTGTGGTCCCTCATCTGCTCATTCAGCTGTTGACATGGGCAGCATATAACCCAGCTCCTCCAGCTCCCATCAGATCTTCTGGTTTGGTTTCTCAAATCCTGGTGAAGGCGCATGTGCCACTTTATCGTAAAAGGTACCAGCTTTTCCTGCAGGTCTCCAGCATCATTGAGGTAGTTCAGAGACAGACTCTGGTTCCAGTTTGTCTTTATAGATTCTGGTGCATTTCCATAAGTTACAGATTGCTCTCCCTGTTTCATAACTATGTCAAGTCCAACCCAGCCTCAGAGGTAACAGTTTGTGTAGATTTGTCCACAGGTCCCACAATTGGGCATTGTCTATTATTTATAATAAATCTCTTGTCCTATATCACTCATGAAGATAGCTTTTCCAATAAAACCCTGATATCAAAAATTGGTACTGGAAGTGGTTCCAGAGGAACAAGAACCTTGAAGATGGGTTCTCTGAATTGATTCTGTTATGTGTATATGTTATTTTGTTGTTGTTGATGTTCTGATTAGATTGAAAATCATTAATAACCCTCTTTCCAGTGGTCAAGGAGACATTGATGGTTCATGATATACATCAGCAAAATAGTTACTTATCACCTGTAGACATCTATAATGATATGCCTATAGAAGAAGCACAGCTTTGGCAGATCAAGCAATTGCTACCATAGAATATGTTAGAGAAAATAAGCATAATGAAGTTGGTTGATGGGCTATTTCAATGTTAGTTGAAGAACTTGGAGAAAGAAAATCCCTAGTTCAGGTTCTAGTTAATGATTTTATTACATAGCTAACAAAAGTCCCTTATTTTCTGTAGCTTCAAGGCATAGAATTCTGAAAACCAAACTTGATTTTTAATCCTGAAAGTGAAGTAATTGTGATACAAATTGAATTTCCAATCTCCTGTGGTCTCCTGTGTTAAAGTGAGGCTATTAAATGTGAAGGAGAGCTCTCCTACAGGCAGATTCTGATAAAGATGGGGGGGCTTTTCCTATTTTTTGCCCAGTATCCTTTACTCATAAAAGCAGCCACTTATGTCCAGTCAGGGGAGCTGGTCTCCTAAAGTACCTGCAATGACCTACTTTGATGTAATCAGAATAATTTCATAATTCCACAAGCTCAGGGACTTATGATCCTCCATAGGAACTGCCCCCACTATGTCTCATTGTTTCTAGTCCTTTAAATAGACTCAAATAGTAGCAGTCCTTAGAGTATAAAGTACTAAGTGTAGCCTTTAAGGAGGTCTAATACACATAAAAAGAATTGTAGATATTTGCAATTAGGATTTACTGTTGGATTGGGTCTAATATATTGCTATTAGTGAATTAAGACACAATTTAGTATTTAAAACATTGGCATGGGTGATTGGCATGCATCCTAACAGTTTGCTTGCTTTGGTTGACTAAAACTTGTATCCAGTATAATGAAGATGAAATGCCAGACTCTCCTTGTTATGCTGTTAAAAAGAGGGGGGTGCGTATTCAAAGGTTTAGGAAGATGGGAGTGCTACAGTAGAGTAAGGCTTGCCCATCTAATCCCTAAGTGTATCCCCCAAGAGGGTCCAGAAGACACTTCCCTCACTAGAGGTGGCATCTCGTGGCTCTTCTCTAGAGGCAGGTTCTATGGTGGGAATCACTGCTGACAAACTGGCTTGCCTGATTTCAGTGATGATGATGGGATTCCGTGGTGGCACTACTCACCAAAGGCAAGAAATGTATGAATAGTGGAATGAAAGGCAGGGCCAAAATTAGTACTAGGAACAGTCTCACCGGCAGAAGTCTTTGGTATTAGCTAGTAGATCCTTCTGTCTGTAGAACTGATCTACATGGACAGCCTACTAATGTTTTACTTCCTTTGTATAAGTAGAAAGCTCTAGGATTGGTGAACAGAGGACTGAATGAAATCATGGCAGTTACCAAATGGAATAGAAAGTTTAACAGAACTAGGACCGTAAAGGCACCATTCCCAGCTACCTCAGGTTAGGAAGTACCTCTCATAGTAACGATGTCATGGGGATCAAAACAACCTGCAATTGAAATTAGAAAGCAGTTGCAGAAGGGAACTATTGATGATAGAGCAAAACCCCACATTGGTGGAAGAGCTATTCATCTGGTGGACAAATCATGTCTCAAGGTTATGAGATGGTGCTGCAAATATTACTTATCATGCTGGGCCTGTGAGATCAGGAATTTCTTGGGCATTGAGTACATATTGGAGGTCCTGCTGATGTGATTATGGACAATGCAAACAGAATATTGAGCAAACTGGAGGATATTAGGAATGGTGGAAAAGACAACATATCTAACCTCACAATCCTTGTGGAGCGCTAACGTCAGAGACCTGCTGCTTTTGAGGTTGTCAAAACTGCCAGTAAATGAACATTTTCCAGTTGTAGTCTTGGTGAGGACTAGCCCTACTGAGATTTCCCTGTATCCTGATAAACCTTGGGTTTTTTTCATGTCTAATAAATCTTCTATAACTCTTTGAGTATAACTACATGAGTAGTGATTTAAAATTCATCAGAGATCTGATTTCTGTTCAGCACAATTACCTGATACTTTGATGTAATACAAAAGGTATCAAATGTGTAGTTATCATTATGCAGAAATTAATCTATTGTGGCTGTTATGGACTGCATGCTTGTACCCCCCACTCCTAAAATGCATACGTTGAAACCCTAATCGCCAATGGAATGGTATTAAGAGGTGAGGCTTTTGGGAGGTAATTAGGTTCCAATGAGATCATAAGGGTGGATGAGATGAGTAGCCTCCCCAGAGAAAGAGAGGAGAGCCCCCCCACCTCATGTGAGGATATAGCAAAAACATAGCTGCCTGAAATCTAGGAAGAGTACTCTTACCAGACACTAAATCCACCAGCACCTTGACCTTGGACTTCTCAGGCTCCAGTACTGTACAAAATAATTGCTCATTGTTTAAGCCACCCAGCCTGTGGTAATTTGTCATAGCAGCCCCCACTGACAAATACAGCAGCATAGGTCATGCTTTGTTCTGTTGGACTATTTATTAAAATAAATAATAATTTAAATAAGAAACTGAAGACAGGATAGTTCAATTTGAGTCCCTGGATAGGAGAAATATGTGAGAGATTTTGCTGGAAAACCCAGAGAGCCAGTTCACATTTTTGTGAGCTCTACCCAGTTAATCAAGATACTGATAGAAAGACCACATGTCTTACATATTTTCTACATTGCCAAGATATTTTATTCATTACCCATACTTACTATGCTTAGTGTATATTGGAGTATCACTAAAAATGAGCCCATTATGCAACAGGATGACAGAAAATAAATCTCCCTCTGTTGCATGTTACCCATCTCTCCCTACTAAGGTTTCCTTCTCAAGTTGACATTTTAGGTAGCCAGAACATGATCAGACACTTTGTACACAGTCTGTACCCACATTTTCTATGAGCCTTTATACAGCTCATATAAATACTGGAAGAAGTGTCATTCCAGTCTCAAAGATTTTTCTTGACATATAAGAACTCTCCTCTCCCTACTTATCATCTTGAAGTCTCTCTTTTCTCCACTCTCCTAAAATGTGAGGAGAGGCTTCTTCCAGAAGATTATTAAAGTTTGTTTTGCAGTCCACTGGTTGGGAATGAGATTTCCTGGTGATTTAATTTTGATGTGTTTCCTAACTTAGGTTTAATTCTATTCATCCCAATAGATGTCAGAGTAAAGAGGTCCATGTTACTATGAATATGTATTCTAGTACTCTGAAGTTGATGATATTTTAAATTATTTAATACAGAGCATTTTCTACTCTAGTAATTTTAATGACCCATATCAACCATAGAAATTTCGAGAACAGTTGCGTGAAACAGAACTATCACTTGGAAAAGGCAAGCTGTGCACTAGATGTTATCCCATGGGGCAGCATCACACTGACTAATATTTCATGGTTCAAGGGCTGATCCCAACTGACTCAGAGATGGAGTTATCAGCATACTAATAATGGATACATATGACAGACTGAACTCAAATTAACCATGTTAGAGAGCTGAAATATAAAATCCTGACTGCCGTGTATTAATTATAGTGGTGAAAATAAGTATATCTCAGGCTGCAATACTCCCTTTGACATGGCATTGATTTTCTTCCTGTATGTAGACCTAAATTGGGTGTGGATATCTTCTCAGTGAGATTGGCCCTATCAAGTCAGCGGGGTTGGGTGTGGTAGGTAGGTGTTTTTGCTTACGTGTCTCCCTCCCCTGGGCATGCTCATATGGCAATGCTCAGCTCTCCTTTCTCTACACTGACCATCCCTTCTCACTTCCCCCACCAGCCCCAAACTCCTAGTTCTGATCAACACACACTGGTGGCTGACATCAGTCTTGCACCCCTCAATTCCTTGAACTTGTAGCCATGCTTTTTAAGCTGCCTCTGCGTATGCCCAATTAAAACGCTAACTTTGTAGCTTCACTTGCAGATGGTAGGCATTTCTTTTTAAAATATATTCTGAATTTCTTGGAAACTGCCTCTCTGTAGACTCTAACTGCTAGTAATAGGTAAAAATAACTTTACATAATTGATTAGAAATTGAAATATGGTAACTTGAAATCTGAAAAGGAAAACTTAACTAGGAATTATAAAGCAAAGTTCATGAAAGTTAGCCATTAAAGAAGCTGAGTTCAGGGTAGATGGCAGAAAAAAAAAACAAAAAACCATCATCATTCTTGGAAAGAATGTGGCTTCTTTTTGGGAACCACACATTTATTACCAAAACTAGACAAAAGACAGTAGAGTATAAAAGGTGAGAAACCCATATTAAAAACCTTTCCCACCCTATTATTAATTTCTAATGGGGAAAACAAGGGCATCTCAAACCAGAATAATCACTTTGACATGGAATTAATTTTTCTTTTCTGTAGAGATTAGTATCTATTTCTTCAGACTAAACTAACTTTATCCATCACATAGATAGTAGCTGTGAGCTCCT